GTCCCTGAAGTAAATTGGAATCCGCGAATCGCGTTACGCCCAAGCGCGACAAGGGTGGGGGGGTTGAGGATTATTCAATTAGGACTCGTTTCGTTGCCGCCTTTGGTATTCCTTGCCGTTTTCTGCAACGGCGTAAATAGCCTCGTAAATTTTCTTTACCAGCCGTGTCGTACGATTTAACGAACCGCTCGACGGAACGTTCACGTTGCTGACCACCCTGCTCGACTGTATTGCGTGGTCTTTCTTTTCTTTTTTTTTTTTCTTTCCTACGGTTTTACAATCTTCCGTTTCGGCAGAAATCGAGCATTCACGAAGTAAAACGACGTGGTAATTGTGGGAGAAATATAAAGATACTAACCCAATTGTCGAGGGAATTTACGGTCGGTTGCGAAAGTATTTCTGTCCACTTTGCAACAATTTAGAGGGAAGAAATAGATGCTTGTTTTGCGCAGGAAGAAGCAAAGCGAAGACAGACTTATAAACTTCGCTGGTGAATTGTTGGCTATGAAATGCATTAGCAGCGAGGACGTTTTTGTTTGGCCCACGGGGTCGTTCATTTCTGTATTTCATCGAAGTGTTTTGTTTGTCTTATTGTTACTAATAACGGGTCTTGCTGCGGTGCACGTTGCAGTCGATCTTCTGATTGGGAGGATTTGCTGTTTCAGGCACTGTTAAGTAAATATCGTAAGATATTGTTGCGTGGGTGCGGCATGATCTCCAATAAATAAAGGCCAATGTTTATAGGAAGAAGAATTATTTATTTAAAGAGGAGGAGTACTCACCTTCTCACGTCTTTCTCGACTATACTTTGTCTGTGTTGGGCGCCGTTACCAAAACGACGCCGCTAACCTGAAGCCTCTCGCTTTAACATTATACAATACGTGCTACCTATCGGAGAACACGTAACAATATGTTGTCACCCTCTTTCATTTCTATGTGGGATCATTTCAATATACACAGACATTAAATCCATTCTAGGGTTATTGAAAAACGCCTGAAAAAACAATTATCTGCATGTTAAGCAACAATTTCCATAAACTATTAATCTTGTTAATGTTAGTCCTTTCAAGAAACTAACACATTTAAGAAACAGGAAATATAAGAAATTGAGTCTAAAATTAAGAAAAAATTTGTGGAAAAGGCTGCGAGTAAGTTGAGTGCAAAGGAGAATAATACAATAGAGATGAAAAAAATGTACAGTTAAATTTTTCATATCAACGTGTTAATAGTTTCCAACAAAATCGAAGCTGAAAATACGTGTGCACGTGAATACCATTTTGCTTGTGTGTCTGACATTATTTTCGGTTATGCTAATGTTTATCAATATTAACAGTGGTATAGTATTATTGTTTTTTTGTATTAATTATATATTAATTAATAAATAGAAAACTATAATTATTAATAAATTAATATATAGGAGATGACAATATCGAAAAGAAACAAACAACGCATTACTATTCATTCTAAGTAGAAATAGTAAGTAATAGTCAGACACGCCAGCCAGTCGTACCCGACCACGTTTTAAATTTGTTTTTCTTAAAAACTTGACTTTACAAGAAACAATTCAGTTTTATTTATTTACTTATTACTTTATTGCATTCGCATATTAAAACTAACATTCCAATGAATCTCTCTTTTTATTTACAAAGTCAACTGTCTGCAACTTTTTTCCATTCAAAAGTTTCTGAGTGGGGTCGTGTTCTCGACGGTTAACAATTATATAGAAACTGGCGTTTAAAATGTATTGAGAAGTTACTCTTTGATACGAGGAAAGCCCACTTGAGTATTCTTAACATTTTTGCTTTGAAATTTAATCACCTTTACACTGTTTAGCGTTGAGTGATCGTGGAGTTTTTTGTCTACCTTTATTAGACGCCAATCCAGCAACTGCACCTACTTTTGGAGCACTTAAACAAAATTTGGTATAGTAACGAAGAATGAATTTGCACATATGTGGAATAACAGAGAACAGAGGGCAACCATATTTTCTGAATGCAATCACTCATTTCTAATGTTGTATATTTTAACACAATTCTTAGTCCTTATCGGTCATTGTTACCAGACATGCAATATTAATATCAAATAAAAATACAAACCAATTATATAATCAGACAATTATGCATTCTGTCGAATTTGAAATACCTTCAGTTATAGTTGAATAAAATCATATTCATTATAATTAAATAATAATAATGAAAATCTAAGGAAGCATTATATTACATTGATGTTCACTGTGAAGTGTCTCAGGCTGAATGAAATTCATAAAAAAGTGGACATAGCTGTGGCTTCAGACAGAAATAAGACAAATTCTAATCATTATCCTGTATAATATTTTGTTCTTAACTATCACAAAGATTCTACCAAAAGTAGTCTAGTTACCAAACCGAAAATATGTTTATGACGCCAATAACAAATACGTAATGATACACAACACATGGTCCATGTAAAAAATTTAATTTTTCATTAATCGTTTATTTTTTCCAAGAGTATTGATAGAATGTTTTACGTCCTTCCTGTATTGACGTACAGTCCCGGACAAATGAGTTTGGATACAGACGTTATTGTTTTTGTTTTTTTTGTCATGGTGATGTCATGAAAGTTCTACTCCGCGAGTGTTTACTATCAGTTCGACGCCAGCTGCCATACAAGTTACACGGAGATACGTAGGTACATACTGGATAGTACAAAATAAGTTTTATATCTATATTTATCTGGAAAAAAGTAATCGAACGTTTCACTTTCAGGCATAATTTGTATTCTGAAACACGAGGTTCATGAGAACATCATAGAATATCCATATTTATCCATTTTGGATGGTATGAGGCAAAAGTTTGCCAAAAATTGTGAAACAATAATCATAGTTTGCTTAAATAGAGCGGTGATATTCATATAATAGTTGTTCGATATATGGACATTTAGAAATAGACGGTATATTCAATAGTAAAAACAATTTATTCAACGAGGTCACTTAGAAAATATATGGAAGTGTAGTTCACCTATGAAAACAACAATTGGGCAAGACAGGCGTTGATTTTAGTTTATCAATTACAACACTAATTCAAGTGATACAGCAAATACATGTAAGCAAGTAATTCGCAATAAGACAATAAGATCTGACAATAACTGTTCTACGTCACTTCATTGATGTCCAATAAAAACATCGGAAACAAATACGCGTTTGAAGGTTTACACAGGGTATCCCCAAAATCGTGGTACAACCGACTAAGTGGTGATTCTAGAAGCGAAAATAAGTCGAAAAAAAACAGGAACATTTTTTCGGACGATGCTCTGTTTTCAAGATAATCGAATTTGAAAAGTTGGTTACATGAGGAATTAAATAGGATTTGGCTACCGCGTTTGTTCATTGCAGGCCGTTTCTACTTATTTCCAGCATAAATACACGTGATTTAGAGGAATTTTTCAATTTCATTTCATTTCGAAAACGAAGCCTTAAATGAAAAAAATGTTATTCTTTTTTTTTGACATATTTTTCTATGTAGAATCACTATCTGGCTGGTTATACCACGATTTTTGGGACACCCTGTATGTCTTCAGTGTGCAGTAACATTGTTATTCAAAGTGTCACAAGTCGCTTGGCAGAAGAAAATGCTAGCGGAATCAGTTTAAAGAGAGGCACACGAGTACAAACAATATTTGCGATATGCTAATAAACTAGTGTACGATATCAAGATACATATATGCTCTGGTAGAACTGTGATCCAAACACTCATGCAACATTCATGAGCCATCGTCCGTATCGCTTCACCTTTTCAGTTTCCATGCAGTAAATCCTTGTCATATCGTATCTCACGGTTTTCAAGCATTAAAGAACCCCCGCGCGACACGACGGTTCCTTTAAAAGTGTGATTTTTCTCCGGCTGATTTGCAAACGTATTCCTTTTTCCACGGTGGCGCGGCGCATTAATGCAATGACACAAAACAGACAAACAAGCGGATGGCACGAATGAATTACGAGATCGAAAGAGAAAAGGTTGACGTGAATGAATGGATCTCTAACAAAGAATTCGTGGCATTAATTCAAGTAAAAATATCATTCACGGTGCTGAAACAATGCAATATTTTCTTACAAGAATTTCAACTAGATTATACGTATCAAGATACGTACATATATACTGTTCCACGTTGATTTTGAATTTTAATTCGTTCGACTAGAAAACGTCTACAGCATAATTTACTACATGATTTTTCGATCATGTCACTGGAAGACAAGAGAACCCAGAAATTTCGTTTAAATTAAATTTAAACGGTAGATTCAATAAAAAAATTTCCGTTAATAACGAACATTAAATTATCACGAAATTTATAGTAGTTCAAATACCTTCCCGGAAAGTTCTGGTTATTAAATATACGAGAGTTCGTAATTTTATATTGGCCGCAGACTGATCACTCCAGCATGTGTCGCATCCACCTTTGAAGCGTCACCGTTTCATGCGTCCTGTTGCAACCGACTAATTACGCGAACACACGAATGAACCAGACAAACAATGAATTTATTACTCTTTGTATTCGATAATGTGATTGTGTATTTGATGATGTCTATTCGAACCGTGTCGATTCATTAAAACGGTGGGCTAGATTTCAATCTGCACAAGGTGATAGATCTTGGAATAAGATACCTCGGTCCATTCTACATGAAAAGGAGGGGGTCGAATGGCATATATGGTTTCGTATGGAAATTCCGGGTTTATGAGATAGATGGTAATAAATATAGAAATTTTGATCACTTAAATTGGCTTCGAACCCACGAAATGACATCGTGGGGTTCATGTTAGATATTCGATTGATGTCGTTGGAAGTGGGAGACGTCTCAGCTAATTATGGTTTGCAGGTTGCAGTGGTTAGGTTAGTTCTTGTTAAATAAATAAAAGGTAAAATTTCCTATAAGGATTGATAATAAAAATATAGTTTCAGTTAACTTGATCACCTGGAATAATTACTTGACGGTACACTTCATGAAAATTTTGAGGCGTGGAACTTAAATGGCATTAAAGGGTACATCTTATGGTACGTGCTTTTTTTGTGGGTGGAGGCATTTCAGATATTTGAAGATCACCTTCCTTTTTTTTTAACGGAATGACCTATTTTTTGTACCATAGATCGATAGAGTATCAAAGTCTAAGTAAAAATGTGTTGGCATTCATACGTCCTAATCCTAATACTTACTATTAGATAGGCCCCTCAATCTCAATACAGTGATTATTTTGTAAATATCTCGTTAACTATTAGATCTAGGACATATCCAAGTCAACACATTTTTATTCAGAATTTGGTACTCTATCAATCTATGGTACAAAAAAAGGCCACTCCATTAAAAAAAAACAAGGTGATCTTGAAATCCCTGAAATGCCTCCACTCACAAAAAAACACGTACCTTATAAGACGTGCCCCTTGATGCCATTTAAGTTGCATACCTCAAAATTTTCATAAAGTATTCTTTTAAGTCATTATTCGAGATGATCGCGTTAGCTGAGACTCCCTATAGATCTGTGTGATATGATCTAGGTATACATTGTGTTTACTTTTATTTTCAAAGCAAAATACTGATTCGGTATTCAGATACTACTAGAAGCAATTAAGGAGTAATACCCTCCTATATAAACTTATATTAAGTACAATAAAAAAATGTTTTTGTTTCTTCAAATTTCCTGAGATTTCTGCAACAAAGCACTAGTATCATTACACTTCTGTATTGATCAGCTAAAGAATGACACCTTGCTTATGGGAATTCATCACGGAATGAAATTGAGCCAATTGTAGATAGGAAGTCAAATGTTGCGAATTCGTGGTCAAGATGTGTTAACAATGGGAGCACCTTAAGCTCGTTTATACTGCGTTGTCAGGCTTACGACCATGTAAATAGTCGTTCGTTGCCTCCATAAAATTTATGACGCGTAGCGAAAACGTGCATATTTTCTGCGGTATTTACGTGTATGTAAGTTATAGATACAATAATGAATGCTTTCGTCGACTGAGAACGAAAAATGTCGACACGAAAATATTATATCATTGTATAACGAGTAAACAACTTTTTGTCATACGTGAGAAATGAAATGAATTCTCGTATTATTTCTATTCATTCGTATTTTATTAATTAATTATTAATTTATTAATAATCTAATACAACTACAGAAGACATGGTAATGTATCTGTCATAGGTGATTCGAACCTTTGACCAGTAAATAGTATGTATCGTGCAATGCTGATGAATAAGTGGAATAAATAATATAAAAAGTCACGTAACAATGAAAACAAAAATAGGAAGGGGCAGAAGACGGATCAAGGGAACATTGGAAATCAATGTTCGATAATATAAAATGTGAAAATCTACGAAAAATGTTACCGAAACCGAAGAGATTATGATTAAATAAACATATGGAAATATACACATGTAATAACCAAATTTTGTTAAATTTAATAACTGGATTTAAATATCGATATATTATAATTAAAATACTGATTATTAAATAACAAAATGGAAGTATATGTAAGCGATTGGAAAATTTTGTATAATTTTAATAACTGGAACTGAATAACAATATGTCATGATTAAAATAACGACAGCTCATGTAATACAAAATCATCACTTGTTAAGCTAGATAAAACCCGAGAATTTGTAGGTCGATAGAGGTTGATGTAAATTGCGGGTTTATTTGGATTAGGTCTACCTCAGGATTCGTGGATGGGCAGTCAGTCAATGGCAGGATCCTGGTTATCGTAATTATCAGTGCCAGAATCGCAATCAAGGATTCCGTACGGATTATGAGTACGATGATAGAAACTGGATTTGCACGAACTCATCGATGTTGGACATCCCAAATCCTTCGCGAGTCCTATTAACAAACTTTCGAACCACGATGTACAGATTGAAGATCTTACTCGAGCCCGTCTATAACTACCCAACACGCCATATTTTGAAGATTAAAAATTGCCATAAGAATTATTCTTCGATAAAAATTCAAAGTCATCTTCACTTTTTTCAATGGCATTATATAATTTCTCTATTCGGTATTGTAGGTGACATCGAAACAAATTCAACGATTTCATACAGAGTTGTTTACTCGGCCAATTTGCTTAGCAAATCATACTTACACTTAACCGTTATGCCTACCTGCGAGCTCGAAAAAAGACATGTACTTTCGGAATTTATTTTTAAAAAACTTGAAGACTTTTTTAAACATATATCAGCGTTCAGAAATATCAACGATCTCCCGGCGGCGTTTTTATTTTAGGCGTTTTGCGGTGACCACTATAACTTCGATTTCGTTTATCTGAAATAAAAAATCCGATCAAATTTAGTTAACATATTAAATTATCTAGTTCCCGATCGTTCATTATCCAGAAAAATTTATTTACGACATAATGGCGGCTGTTCAAAGTCGAAGTATCGATTTTCGCCAAAAAAATTGTTCATTTTTGATCTATAAAATAAAAACTACCGAATGAAATACAAAAACCCACGATCAGGTACTAAATTTTTATGTATAGAATGAGTCCACCAAAGCTGAATCAGTTCGGTGTGTTCGAAAATTTTAAACAGCACACATTATTAACAATTATTGTTATCTGACAATGCCGCTAAATAAGCGATGTATAATTTTTATTTATATGGTCGAACGTCACCTGATACTGCAACAAACAAGTTTATCTATATGGGAGTTATCTTAACATGAAGTACAGGCAACCCTCGTATAATACGGTATTCTCATAATACGGTTTTGCTTTAGTACGGTTCAAGAATTTTTTAAAACAGTGTAGTGTCGGTACTTCTTGAAATCTAACCTTGTTTTTTATGTAGGTACATAATAGTTCTTAATTTCATATAACACGAATTCGCATAACACGGCAATTTTAGGTCAACTATAGGTACTGTACATTTAACAAAACATAATGTCGTGTAAAGCTTGTCATAATTATTCTACAAACAGTCACGCGCATCTGAATTCACAAACCGGAAGAATAGAAACGATTTATCTCCACCTCAAAAAGTGCTCGTATCGAGGGCAATGCCTGCTGCGATGTAATTGGGTACGGTTTCTTTACCGTACGAGCGTTAATTGATTATTCCTGCTAACACATTTAACAAAACATAATGTCGTGTAAAGCTTGTCATAATTATTCTACAAAGAGTCACGCGCATCTGAATTCACAAACCGGAAGAATAGAAACGATTTATCTCCACCTCAAAAAGTGCTCGTATCGAGGGCAATGCCTGCTGCGATGTAATTGGGTACGGTTTCTTTACCGTACGAGCGTTAATTGATTATTCCTGCTAACACGTTTTCTTCTAATATTTGTGGTACATACGCTCAGCTGCTTCGATTTTATTATCTTTTTATTGCAGCGTCACTGTGCAACATGGTCTACAGTAGTGACTCGACGAAAACAGGAGTGGTCACGTCGCCAGGATATCCGAATCCTTATCCACCTAGGACGCATTGTACATACGACTTCCAGGGACGTGGCAAAGAACGGGTCCAAGTAATATTCCAGGATTTAAATTTGTATCATACATCGGGTGGAACGAACGAGTGAGTTTAATACTATTTCTTTCTCTCTTTTCTCTTCTTAGAATATAATTTTTATTCGATTAGAAAATCTTTATTACAGTAATTCCTCGATGAATGCAACACGAACAAATTCTGAAACCAATCGAAACAGAGTAACCAGAAGCTAAGCAGTAGCTCGGCTTCGTGCAAAAAGCAAATGTATGAGGGGCTGAAAACCTTTCCGCCTTGCACACATCGAGACATTACTGTACTACTATTTGTGCAGACATTTTCATTGTCGTTCTTCTTATTTCACGATAAATATTGGAAATCCTTTAATCTTCATAAGAATCGTGTTTTAAATGTTTAGCACTGATTTGAAAATAAATTTGATATGTATTTCTTTATTAACAATAAACGGTCGGAAAATTCAAGTCGTTCAAATAAATCAAACATTACCATTTAAAGAAATAATAACATTTTTCATCAACTTTCGATTACTTCGTCTGTAATTGTGGAATTTAAATAATTCCCGAACTGAAAAACGTAGTTTTATCAAAGTGTTAACGTATTCTGACTGAATGAACAAAAACGATGTTAAACGCAACGAAAAAATATAGAAACAAATTGGAAAAAGAGAAGAGAGGTAAACTTTCGTGTCGGAATTATAAGAACGCATGAAATATATATGCATGTGTCATATATCAAATGAATGAAATCATATTTCGGTAGACCTTGGAAACAGTACAAAAAATATTGGATGGATACGTATATGAAGTATTTCAGACTTATACAATTACGAAATAGGTAAAAACACGTTAACTATATTCATAAATTTCTGCTTAATAAATGGTTTTTTATATAAATATCCATAATCAAATTATAAAGATTAAAAGAGTATGCACATATTTAAATCTTGCAGGAAAGCAACTTACAAACTCAGAGATATTCCCAATCGGAGGGGTCAGAAAATTGATTTTTTTTTAATGCACTTTCTTAAATTATAACATTTTGAAAATGTGTATCTAAAACGCTACGTCTGATTTTTTTTGCCCAATTTCATTTCTTCAGGGTGAAAACATCCCTTGAAGGTAGATGAGTGTTTCCATATTTCCCTGTATATCTTTAAAACCATCGTAGATGTAGAAACATGGTTATAATAAAAATTGAATGGTTTGTTATGCTCCATAAAACGATGTAATTAAATTGATAATTAATAAAAGTGAAGGGAGGATGTTTTTATTTAAACAAAGAATTCTTACCAATTTAATTCCATCGTTTTATAGAGCATAAAAAACCGTTCAATTTTTATTATAACCATTTTTGTATATCAACGATAGTTTTAAAGATATACAGGGAAATATGGAAACACCTATCTACCTTCAAGGGATATTTTCACCCTGAAAAACTGAAATTGGGCCAAAAACATAAATTGCGCTATATACTTCTCTTCAGGTCCCCTACGAACCTGCAAAGTTTTAAAAAATTCGGAATTTTCGGGTTACCGAACTTCCCTTGTGAGATAAATAAATCTGGTCGAAACGGAAGTTGCATCTTAACGAAGAAAGAAAGTTTCGACATGAGACACATTTGACAATTTAATTAAATGGGGCCCCGAAATGAAATTAGAAATGTCACACGAAACAACACATAGGCTTCGTGGTATATGAACACCGCAAGAAAACACTGCAATTTCTGTTCAGTTTTTTGTAATTAATTTCTGACATGATATACGCTGGACTCATCGCGCAGAAGAAATATTGCGGTGATTCCTGCTTTCGACCTAGTTTCCATTCGCGCGACATCTTTAAACAACATCCTCCTCCCCCGACCTTAAAAAGTTAAACAGCTGCAGCGGCATTTCGAATGCAGGAATTTTTCCCTTAATGCTTGCATCACTGCGATGTTCTCGACTTAATTGATGTAATTATTTTTCCTAATGACCTTGCGGTTTGCTTTCACGTAGAATCACGAAGTCGAATTTACATCTTATTTTATTGCACACTGCTTGAATATGTCGAATGTATGAATACATTCAAAAGTTTCAATCCAGTCAAAATAACTTGCTGTAGTTTTTTAGTGGTTCGAACGATTTAAAGAATGTCGTTAATCACTTGAAGATGACAAAAGGAAAGGACAACCTTCGACAAGTTGCACCGAGGCGAACATGGAATCCGGTAATCTCTTGTTGTTGACTGGCCATTGTTTAACGCTAAAAATTATAGCTGGCGAGTAAAGATTCGTGATGCCTGAGCTTTACCAATCGGGTGAATGGTTCCTGCTCACGACAATGCACCCGCAAATTCGTCAATCATCGTCACAGAATTTCTAGCAAAAAAAACATAACTGTTATTAACCACCCACCGTATTCGCCAAATTTGGCACCTGTCAACTTTTTCTTATTCTCGAAAATCAAATTGGCAATGAAAGGAACCTATTCTGAAGAAGTGAATGCAATAAAACAGGCTGTAACCGAGGAATTAAAGAAGATAACGCAAAACAAATTCTCTGAGGCTTTCAAAGCACTCGATGAACGTTTTATTGAGTGTGTAGGTAGGGAAGGAATGTATGTGGGTCATTCCACACTAAATCGATCACTTTGTGCACTCGCTATCAGGGATTTTGTTGAAAATGAAATATGTTGTAATCCACCTGAAATTACGGAGTGTTTAACTCATCATTTTACTGTTCCCGAATTTGTTTAAAAAATACAGGCCATCGAAGTTTCCAATTTTTGCCTATTTTCGTGAAAGGGCGAAGTACTTAGAAATTCATATCTGGGAAACTATTTATCGTATCGAGTTCATTTTTCAATTATTTCAATCTAGAAGGATTACTCTACTCAACTAATTTAGTTCCAATGTAGTCTGCATACATGCATTAACAACCTACTAAATTTAACCTGAAGTGTTATCAAAGCATCTAAACCAGAATAATCATGGCTTTTCTCAACTTTTTCACTTAAATCGCAGTTTTCTTATAATCCTAACGGGTCTTTCCGTTCATCATTGGCTTGTCAAAATCTGTAGGAAATAATATATAACAAATCATAAAAAAAATTCAACCACTTATTGTAACAGAAAACCGCATTTTTTTTTAAATGTCAAGTTTAACATAGATTTCGAAAGTCGTGACTTGCATACTTTACAATCTCTTAGCTTTAACCTCGAAAAAGATTCATCCTTCTATCTTATTTCTATCAAAAGTTCTACGATTTTGTCACAAAAATGAGCAACTTGTTTCACTGCCCACCGCGACTCGCTTACCTAAAGCAGGGGTATACGTCAGTTTTATAGCTCCTCGTGAGGCTAATGTTAATTCCTTCATCTTTCTGAAGAGCTCATTTTGTAGCTGAGATCTCAAGGTATATGACTATATTTTTTTAATTTAAACACCCCTTGTCTGTCGCAGAGAAAATCGGAAAAAGAATTTGTTTATAATTTTCATTATTAAAAAACCAATTTTTCATATAACAAAAAATTGTATAATAGAGCAATCTTTCTAGATTCGTATAATCGAAGAACGAACTCGATATGATAAACAGTTTCCGAGATATAAATTCTTAAGTACATCGCCGTTTCACGGAAATGGGCAAAAATCGTAAACTTCGGTGGCCTGTATTTTTTAAATAAATTCGGGAACAGATAAATGATGACTTAAACCCCTCCTAATTTCACATGGCTTACGACATATTTCATTTCGAACAAAATCCCTGGTAGCGAGTGCAAAATATGATCGATTTGGCCTGGAATGACTAATATATAAAACTGAACAATAAAAGTTCCTTAATCAACAGAATTCAATTTTTCATTACATCAGTTTTGAAACCTTTTAAACACACCGTGTGCTTAAGGCCGCGTGCAACAAACATTAACGAGCACGAAAGCATACCAAGGGAAAAAGCACGTCAGCCAAAACAACTCAATTCTGAAAACAAACGTTCATCGATCGAACGTTCCGCATTCCATTCCGGCGAGCAGATCGATCGATTCCCCTTTCCTCCTGCGAGCCTTTTTCCCGCTCAGGGAGAAAAACCATGAGAATCGGAGACAATCGTCGTCGGCGTCCGCGTCTCTTGAACGTTAATTTAACTTTGCTTTGCGACCGGTAATGCCCAGAAAGAACTGTACGGTGCATACGAGCGCCATTTCCGTCCGTTTCGGGGGCGCAATCAAAAGGCAATGTAGAATTTGGCAACCGCGATCCTGAGTTCTGCTTGACGTACCTTCAAATACAATTTGCACAGAGTGGATCGAGTGGTGTGCCCGAATTCCGCCATTAGTGTGCCGATTGATCGACGAGTTCGTTCCTCGTTGTCCAACGATGAGGATCGGACGTTCCTCGAATTCTGCTTGTCCTTGTGAAAAGCACCGGGAACCGGACAGTTGCGATCGATTTCACAGACCAGGCGTGTAGTTGTGCGTGTGTCTAGTGTTTCTAAAAGGCTCCACGTATATAAAGACAATTCCCGCACACGTACGCGTTACGGGACCGTGTCACGTGTCGCCACGTTGCTGATTCATCGGTGGAAATAAAAGTAATGAAATTTAGTTGAATAACTAAATTGCGCGGGAGTGTGAAAGATGAAATACTATGCCCCTGTTTCAGGGGGGACGATCTTCCACGGTCGTTTAGTCTGTTTCATATGCATCGTGATTGAACGGAAATTGATATCGATGAATAGTACGTACTAATCCGATGTTAACATATTGTTTTAACCTTTATGTTAGTAAGCCAGGAATCGGGTATCTATTTCAAAGTTGCGTTTAAAAATTGTTTACAGTCCTGTGGAAATACCGCAAAACTGCTTTGAATCTCCGTTCTTTGAATAATTTTATGTTTATATTTAGAGGACAAAGATGTACACAGAAAATATTAGGTATGAACACTTGAAACGTGTTTATATTTAAGGGAATGTTGCCAAAGGACCATCGCTTAAATTGGACCACTACTTTAACTTGTCATGTGCAAGCAATTTCCACCGTATGATAGACAATATGTGTTGTTATATTCAGTTAGTTACTTATTACTCTAACAATAAT